AAATCAAATCAAGCATATTCTTTAAAGGTTTTCATACGGTAATAAAACATTTTTTTTTGAATGCTTAACAAATAAAAACAATGTTACTCTATAAACTAAATAAATTTATTTATATTAGATTCTATATTATATTATTATTATTCTGTAAACACTAATCTATTTTAAGAACGTTTCTAGAGCAAAATAGAACAACTTTTAAACCAAATACAGAATCTTTCTTGTCTATAATTGGGACATAAATAGAAAAATGTATAAGAATATTATTTGCTTCGTTTTCTTTGATGACGAGGCCTCGCGAGCAGCTTCCCCATCCAAGAATATCTCTTATTATACGAGTTTAATTATCCAGAAAGGTGTCGGTGGACCACGACTTGTCTTAGAACAGATAACAAGTTCTGGAGTAGTTCGCAGGAGTTGTAAAGAGGCCAGAGGCGACGCTTGAATAGACGGGTAACTTGTGGTTCGACGCCTCACTTCCTTACTTCCTCCGGGGAGAGGGTAAACTTCTCAAAGACTCCTTCTTATCGCGTTATGGAATCTTTTCAGACCTTTTGTTTAGATCAACAGGGCGAAGGAGATATCCTTGAAAGTTTTCGGAAGCAACATGTTTCGGGAAAATTCGTATTTGCTGACTAACACTCTTTGAATTTCCTTTATACTAAATTATTACAAACGAAACTTCATAAACGATCCACATAAAATGAAAATTTGAAATACTACCAGGGAGCGGTTCTATGAGCTAATTGAAGAAAATATCGTGGAAGAAGAGGGGCGAAAGAATAAGAGAGGTTAAACAGTGTGATAATAGTCAAAGTTACAACCAATGAAATGTTAGGCTCAAAATCAGACGTTTTATTCAAACAAATCTTATTCCACATACTTTAGAAGTTTTTGAAACCATCATGGAAGCCATTATGTTTCTTTAACTTTCCTTCTTGCTAAATTATTAATCTAAGAAATATCACCTTACTTAAATAAAATCATTATTTACATAATTATGATGAAATTCGATATCTGAAATTACTTTTTAACACGATGGTGTCCCATTAGGCTTGTCTTAATTATTAATATGACATTTTTTGAAGTTTCTCTATCATGCCAGCGTGCCAAACTTGGTCAAGTTCTTGGTGCAAAGGGCTTAGTAGCTACATGCTATGTTATGTTGGGAATGGAGTGTTAATACACTGCGACCTAAAAGATCTATTGTGTCCCCTTCTGTTGCCAATGCACCAAGGGTATGTCTTAATGCCTATAACGATCCTTCCAATCCTATTTTCTCAAGGAAGTGTAGGATTTGAGGTGGCTTCAAATTAGGTAAATTTCCCTCTTCTATTTGATATCCTCCTAGATATAGTGCCCTTGGATTCTAGAGTGCTACATATTCAGATAGGATGTGAATGGAGGTTTCGTCCTCTTCCTCACATAATCTGCACTCACTATCCTCTACTACTCTCAGTTTACTTAGGTGTTCTTTTAGTTGGCAATGCCCGGTAAGGATCCCTGTTACAATACGTAGCCTGTTCTTGCTCAGGCAGATGCAAGCTTCCGATCTTTTCTGATTATATTCACCCAGAAGTATCTTGGCCTGTCTCAGCCCCAAGAGGTTATTACAATTATCGGTTCTTTTACTGCCCAATTCTTTTTTAATCTCTCCTAATATTATGTTACTGCTGATACCGCAAAACGGTTCAGTTCCTACAAAGGATGTTTGAGTCCCTTTCCTTGCAAGACTATCTGCAATCTCGTTACTCTGTACCCCGATATGTCCCAGGACCCAAGTGAGAGTAACTCTATTTTTCTCGCCTAGCTCATTCAATTGTTCTAGGCATCTCCAGACCATTTTTGAGCTGATTACGTAAGAACTCAGCGCTTTGATGGCTGCTTGACTATCAGACATGATGATAATCTCTTGTCTATGATAGTTTCTCTCGATGTTAAACTGGATACACTTCTCGATGGCGTGAATTTCGGCCTGGAAGATGCTAGGGTATTTTTCCAAGCTTTCAGAGTGCTTGGTTCTCAACCCATACACTCCTATTCCAGTTCCTTCTATGGTTTTGGAACCGTCCGTATACCACTGAATAGCAAGTCTTTCGGTTGCAAGCTCGATGGATTATTAGCTCCATACTTTCTTGCTCTGTGGTTTAATAGCTACATGATGATTGATGACATTTAATTTCAAGCTATTCCTGGCTAAGAACCAATGCAAGATTGGACCGTCTGTCCACCGGTCCGAAGACCGGTAGGCTCTCTTTCAAGCAGTGCGCCCTTGAGAAGAACAATCAAACGCGAGAAACACCTCGAAAAAAGCGTCAGTTTGTCCTTCAATAAATCGGGCCATGACAAAAATTGATGTGTGCTCTCCTCCCTCCTGAACCAGTAAGCCTTGGATGTCCAATCCGACACTGCCTTCAACCATTTTCCACGCATTTGGTATACATTTAAGGCGAAATGTGTAACAATTATGAGGTACCTATGTCAATTTAACGATATTTTTCAGTCGCATATTCATTCTAGGCCTTCTGTAGGTTGATATTTGCCTGAATTTATTCCCCAACTTCATTGGGATTAACTAACTCAATTTTAAGTTCCATATATTACAGATCGTTTTATTTGAAGTGGCTCGATTTTCTTCTAATTGGAACATGTTTTATAAGTGAAAATATCAGATTTTTCTTACCCATTTGTAATCTGTTATTTTGCTAGGAGGACAACTGGGTACATAAGTTTTTATCTTTTTAATTGTTACCCTACTAGGTATCTGTTGAAGGAATTGAAAGTGGAGATACAATACAATGGTCTCCTAGGTATCCAGTTCTAAGACTCTTAGATTTGAATGAGAATTTATTCTTTTACAATTTATAACTAATGGAATTTTGATCTCAAAATCTAACGTTTCAATCAAACAAATCTTATTCCACATACTTACTCGATATTAATATTTCTAAAGCATTACCGAATCAAAATTGCCTCGTAGAAATAAACCCTCCCATTAATAACACTAGAATCTCCTCTCAACAAACAATAATTTGGTCAGTGCAACGTATCACGAAAAGAATAAATATCTACCGCCTCGGACCGAACACGGGCATAAATAACTCGAGATTGCGTGTTTTACCTGTCCGGCCCTGCACTTAGCAAGGGCTGGACGGGGTGTGATGAGGCGTTATGGACCCTGGACATGCATCGCCGAAGAGAAAACACCAGCTGACCCCTAGGAAAGTGTCTGCTTCTCGCCTCCTCAGGTGCCAAACGTTAATTAAACGTCAAACGGAAAAAAGTCTCGCTTTTGAAACGAATTTGCGCCACTTCTGATTCTGAATTAGAGGTTAAATAGAAAAATTCCGCTTCTGAATCAGATTTGCCCCACTTCTGATTTTGAGAATTATGTAATATTGCGATTAAAAAGTCCCATTTCTGATATCTTTAACTAAACATCAAACAAGAAATTTTCATTTCTGAAATACGAATTTGCGTCAGTTTTTTTCCTTATTGAAGCTTCGAACAATTTTCCTATCGTCAGTGATTCCGCCTTGCTTCAAGTAATGGTTTTTAAATGGTGTCTGCTTTTCGGGGTGCTGTCGTATATACGAAAACTCAGTCGATATGCATAATGTATCTGTTTCCAAGTGAACAGAGATTATTTCGCGACATTAGCATATGCAGTATACACACCCATTGAAATCCATTTGAAATCGAATGAACCTAATTTGTTGGAATGCTGTTTCGTTGTTGCAGATTCTATCGCGCAATAAAGATTTTTTAGAAAAGTCATCCATGGCGAAAGATATTGTCTGTTCAAGCGTTCTATGGTATTTTAAATAGGGTAATAAAAAATGTATATTATAAAGAAAGTATAGATATGATAGTATAAGTGTAAAAACAGTAATTAAAATAAGAAGGTACAAATAATCGTTGAATCAATGACCCAATAAGATTTTATCAAAATCGGTTTATGATTAGTCCAAAAACGCGTCATTTTATCCCAAAAATATGGTATGTAACGATTCAATGTCAAGAGCTGTTTTATATCGCATCAAGTACCCATAAAAATGTCGTCTAACAGTAAAACTGACCCTCAAAATCAGTTTAATTCCTCGTCAAAGCTCCTATCGCGCTCATCTCGTGTCGTTCCATCAGCCCTAAGAGGTCATTCAGGACTATCTCAAACCGTCCCTCGTCCCGTAAAAGACAAGGATATCGTCTAAGTCTAAGGGTAGGCGCAGGCATAAACTTTACGACTCATTGCGTATTCTGCGACAGTTACCTTAATAAAATGGCGTAGTACGAGTTTACACAACGAGAGGGCGGCAGTAATGTGACAAATGCCGCTCTCTAAATCTTTTATTGACTGTTTAAAATTTCACCGCTCGTGTGTTTTGCTGCTCGTTCGACGTTTTTATCGGCAAATTGTCTATTAATCGTGCAAGTTTTATCGGGTAAAATATCTGTTGCTGGTTTGGAAATAAACTCGAAAAAGTTTCTAAATTACAGCTGTTAATAATATTGTTATGGAAAGATTAAAAATTTTAAAAATATTGAATGAAATGCCCTAAGTAACGTTTCAAAATTAATAACTGGATATTTTATTTGAAATTAATTTTTGAAATATAAAATAATTATCTACAAATATTAAAACATGATGTTGAATGTAAAATACATCAAATCGAATAACAAAAACTTAAATAAAGACATTAAAATATCACATTGAATGTCAAACACATTAAAATAACAGTTTAAAGTGTCAATCTAACATCGAAACATCAAATATTGAATTTAAACATCAAAATAACTTGCCAAATCTCAGTCGAACCATCAAAATGTCAAAAAATTAATTTAGTTGTCAAACTAACTTGTCAAACGTCAATTAAAACATGAAAATGTCATAAATTGAATTTAAACGTCAAAATAACGTGTCAAATGTCTAAATTACCGGTTCAAATGTTATAAAAACTGATTTTTTTTTAAGAACCATCGTGTAAAATCGTGCGATTCTCTATCCAGATCAATCGGCTTTGTTTTGACTACGGCTGAACGAGTTTTCCGACAATATTCACAGAGAAACGTTTTACGAACTATTAAATTGTCGCAGTGGCAAGATCAAACATCGCGTTTATACACATTATGTTTGTCTTAGTTTTATGATATATTCGAATGCAGTTTAGTTTCGTATTATTTCAGGCCATTTCTTAAGAATCGGTGATGCTTTGGTCGCCCGACACCGCCTTTACGAGCTTTTGTAACTACCCTATAATATCAACAAAGCAACCACATACGATTTCTATTCGGTTTAGACGTTTTTTTTCTCTCTCGGCGTTTGGGAACACGGTATAACTAAATGATCTTATATTTAGCGTCTTTTTTAACCCTTTTAGTGACTCTGAAATAATCTGAAAAAATCTACTGAAGTTTTAGTGGGAACTATAGGTCCCAACTCTTCCAAAATTTTAACAAGAATTTATCTTATTCGTGGGTGCTGTTCTTCTCACTGGTCTCTTTAGGACAAAACTTTTGTTCAATTTTTGACATTTGATCAATTATTTACAAATATTTTTTTATTATTACAGAAACAAACATATTTTGTAGAGGCAGACATATGCTTTATACTGAGAATGTAGTATGGCCAGGCATAGGCAATGCGTTTCTAATAGGAGATCGACACACTGTGTTGCTGTCTTTCCGATAGATGTGACAGGGTCGGCGCAGTAGTAGTCAATTACAGATAGTTTAAACAACACACACACATTTTACTTTGCTCCTCAAATATTCCATGTTTAGTATGGATATAGTTAACTAAAAAAATAGAACTTAATACCATTGTTTCCAATGATTTATTCAATTGGATTGCAGTATCTATCGCTGATTCCAACTTACCTGAAAATGGACGAAAGAACGTTATTGTTATGGATAACGCTTCGTTTCATTCCTGTAAATTTAGTTTTCCAGCTATTTCGTGGAACAAACACGGAATAAAAAATTAGCTGTTTGAAAAAAACGACTTCTATTTAAAATCTAAGCTGCTTGAAGTGGCCAACGTATCCAGAGATCAATACGACAAATATAATATTAAGGAATTAGTTGCAAAATACGGGATAACTGTTTACAGTATAGAACTTTTAAAAATATGTCAATAACCAATAAATAAATATAATTCGTCTAACTTGAAAAATACAGACTACTAAAAATTATAATTAAATTATTTTTATATGTATTGTCAAACCAAACTTCAATTGACATTTTTAACCCGTTCTTTTTTATATTTTAAATTATATTTTTAACATGACGTTTCGTAATTTAATCTGATATTACAAGTATCGATGTTTTTATATTTTACATATGAATATGAATATTTTCACATTATTATGCAACTTTAACTGAATAATGTATTCAATCAAAGCATCGTCATATACCGAATCTGGTATCTGATTTACAACCACCCCTTCAAAACATCACGGGCGTCGAATATTTTGAATTTCAAATTAGAATTCGGATGGGGGTCGGACGGTTTTTTATTCTCGAGAATTACAAAACTGCCTTTCTTCCCCATTGTCGAGTGTCACTGTCTCTTGTAATGGAAAATAACGTTAAAGCCATCTATTAACGCAAAAGGGAGACAACACAATGCACCGGCCATATGATCAAATCAGGGGTGGCGAAAATTGCATTATTCATTTGACTCGACTTTAAGTGTTACCGTAATTAAAGCCTCATGCTTGACTTAATGGCCGAAATTCCATTTGAATTTTAACCAATTTGGCCGCCGCTTTCACCGGATTTGAATCCGGGTGATTTTTACATTAGAAATTAAATTATTTTTAATAATAATTTGGATAAAGGAAAGGTAAGCAGACCATTTCTTCCACCATAACCTACAAACATAAACATATATTGTTATAGAATCCCAAAACCCAAACCTTCATCCCAACTAACAAATGATATTTTATTAGAATTCATTATAATTACTTTAAAAGTATTGTTTAGTCTTATAACACGCTATTGTTTTGTTAGGGCTTGTAGACATTGCTGTCAACGGTTATTAAAACATATATACTTACAATTGATATAAAACGTTTCTATTATTATTCTATAAACATTGTGAGGTAGACTTTTTTATTTGGAAATCGTTTTAGAAGCGAATTATAAATCTATTTTATAATTGTTCTGTTAGTGTTCCACCAAGAGCTTTTTATGACAAACGGAATCAAAATTACTTACTGAAGAATGCTTACATAATACAGAATCGTATCAGACATAATTGAAGATACAAGTGGATGAAGGGCCTATGTAGCAAAATAATTTTTACGAGATATTTCGTGTTAAAGTTTATGGTTTGGCAGTTATTCCCTAGTACATGGGTCCTTTATCCACTGGCAATTTCTATATTTGATGATATATTGTCACAGAAGACATTATAAATGAATTTTAGGAACATAAGCCCCCTTCATTCATAGAAAAACACCATTAAAAAAATGTTACATATGCCCTTCCTCCACTTGTTTCTTCAATTTTAAGTGGAGTTTTTTTTTAATATATTCAAGTCAAGGCCATTTTCTTAGGTTTATTTTATAAATCAGAAAAAATTATAAATTCAAACATTTGTGTTACTGCGTTCGTTTTATTTTAAAACAACATCGTCTCCATCCATACCATGTAGCCCTTCATCAAGGTCTGAAATTAACAGATTATGATTAAAGGCTGGATTACTGCAATTGGCTTAAGAATATGCTCAATAAGGATCTACAATGTTTATGACATATAATGTGGCCCGATGAATCTACATTTTCTAGTAATGGATCTGTAAACAGACATAATATGCATTACTATTTTACTGAACTGTTTTAGTTTCGTTAAGCTTAATGCGCCATCTTTTTGTCCACTCATAGATTTTGTTAGTTGCATGTTGAAGTATTCTGATCGATTCTTCTATGGTTTTACTGATGGCAAGTATGGCCGTATAATCGGCAAATGTGGCTACTTTCACATTTTGTGTTTTTGGTATGTCGGAGGTAAACAACAGGTAAAGAACTGGCCCTAGAACACTTCCTTGAGGTACTCCTCCTTTAGTTTCTTTAAGCTTGAAATATTATTCTTCTTTTTGTTTTACCCGGAAGATTCTGTCAAGTAAGATTTTAAGATATCTAACCATACTTTATTGAAATCATGAGCTACATCTAGAAAGAGCGAGGTGTAGATCTTCTTTTCTTCCAATGTTTTTTCTATTTCATTCATTATTCTGTGGACTTGGTCAATAGTGGAATGCTTGTTCCTAAATCTAAATTGGTGGTCAGGTATTATTTTTTTACTGTCTGTCAGTGGTTTCAATTTTTTTAGTAAAAGTTTTTAGAAAAGTTCAGATAATACTGGTAACAGGGATATAGGTCTATAGGACTTTACTTAATTTGGTGGTTTTCTAAGTTTGGGTATCATTATAATTTCAGCGACTTCCCAGAAACTAGGTACATGCTCTAGTCGAAATACAGCGTTTTTTATATTAGTAAATTTAACCACACCTTTTCTTGGCAATTGCTTTAGTATTTCACCTGTAATCAGATCATACCCATGTGCTTTCTTAGAATTGATATTTTCTTTGATTTTCTGAGTTACCTCTCTAGGCGATCCCTAGGAATTTCTACTATGTTTTAATAAAACGAGACCTCGTTCTTCATTCGGTTCAAACATTTTTTTTTTCGAGATGATCTGCAAAGATGTCATCTCTTTGTGTATTTGATCTTGCCCAGTTTCCTTTGTCTTCTTTTATTGATGAAAACTGGACTATTGGACGTTTAAGTTTCCTAGTCGCTTTCCACAGAGAGTAATCAGTATTTTTATCGTTCGTCAATTTTCTAAGATATGTGTCTATTGATTCATTTTTAATAGTGATTATGTCTCTCTTAGTTGTTGTTGAGAACTACTTTATCTTCAGGGAATCTGGTGATTTACCATTTTTTCTTGCCTTTCTCTCTCTATTTATTAGTTCTTTTATTTCTTTAGGGCAGCGTTACTCAAAGTGTGGTCTGCGGAGCCGTGGGGCTCCGCAAAGCCTTTGTGGGGGGCTCCGCGAAGAAAATAATATTCATAACAAATAAAGCAGTACTATCGCTACAACTGGACTTAAGGACCTTTTTTAGACCTTTTTAGACCTTTCTAAGACCTTTTTATACTTTTTTTAGACTTTTTTTAGACCTTTTTAGACCTTTTTAGACCTTTTTAGACCTTTTTAGACCTTTTTAGAACTTTTTAGACCTTTTTAGATACAAACTGCAATTGATCATATTCCTAGGGCTGAAATAGAAGCTGCTGTCAATTCATTTAGACAGAGACTTGAGATTTGCTTTGATGAAGATAGAAAACAATTCGAGCACTACCTCTAATTCTTGTATTAAATTTTGTTTTCGCTGAATTAGATATTCTCCACTTACTACTATTTTCTATTCCATTTTGTTCTGTTTTTAGTTTGTTTTGTTGTATTAATTAAGGTTTTCAATAATATATAAAGAAATATTTGCAAATTTAAAACTTTAAAATTGTTTTTCTCTAAATAGTCTTTTCGTGAAATGACACCTTTATCCACCCATGTCTTCAATTATGTTTATAAATATGACGATATTCACTAAATTGTAAAATATATTCATCCAATTTAATTTTGAAATTACTAATTTCGCCGCCGCTTTCACCTGATTCGAATCCAGTTGATTTTTTTAGATACTTTTAATATTGAATGTGGTATGTCTCTGGGTAGCGATTTTTTCACATTTCGAAGGTTGGGTTGCAAATCACTCGCATTGTTATGTATCGTAGTTCGCCTTGAAGCGATGCTTAATTGTTTTGCCCACGCGAAAAAATTATGGGGAATGCATTTAGTGATATTATTCTAACATCGAATGCAGTAAATCGTGTTTAAATATGTCTGGAATTGAGGTTTGTACCTACTTATACATACAGTGTATCCTTAAGGTATGAAATACATCAATTTTTAAGCTAAATATCAATTTTTAAAGACTTTCTTCAATTTACTGTGTTTTGAACAAAAAATTGAGTGTGAGTAATAATGACGTTAGCAACAATTTTTTAAATGGGACACCCTATACATTATTCAATTTTTGAAATCGCTATGGAAAGCTGAATTAAAAATATACCACACAGAATCTAAAGTACCATACCATACCATATAATTTATCTAAATCAGTTATTAAAATTTTTTACTAAAACTTACCTATGCCCAATATTTTTTTATTTTGTTTTAATCTAGACAAAAAAATCATAATAATCATTAAATTATTGATGATTAGGTTTAAGATTACGTGAATATGTGAACCAAAAAAGGTATGAAGAGACAAAACATCTTTCTTAATGTTTTCCAAAACCAAAATACGAATATTTATTAACCTTATAGATTCATCAATATTCGACACATAAATCAAATTAAACAAAAGTCCCAGAACTGATCCTTGAGGTACACCGGGAGTTACAGTAAGAAAATCAAACTGAAAGAAGAATTTATTAGTATTGAAAAAAATTTATTATCAGTTACAATAACCGTGTTAGATATAACTTAACTTGATAAATTCCTAACTCTTAATATACAGGGTGTTCCAATAAAAACTCCCAGGCCGGATATTTTGGTAAGAAACAGAGATATTTTAATTCTGTAAAAGCCAGTTTACAGGGTACTAAGAGAGTTTCAGTTTTAGATATAAATTGATTTTGAATAGGTCAATATGTAGATGGCGCTGCTCTCACAATTTTTTTTTCGATGGAAGGATCTTTCTTATGTAGCGCATCTTGTAAAAAATGCATTTTTAAGCAGATTTTGTTATGTGAACTAATTTAATAAATCTAGTAATTTTCGATATACAGAGTGTACCACTCAAAACAGTTTCTGTCTATTATTTGGCATTATTCATTGGATTTTAAGAAAATTCTAAAACAGGTCGATTTTTATTCTAAATTGAACACATTTTTACGATACAGACATCTGTCATATGTCAACCCCCTCCTTTCTACTCCTCCAACCCCTTAATTTTAAATGGGGAATGTACCATATATGGCACATCATTGAAAAGATAATTTTATGGGGTATGCCAAAATATGGCTACCCATTGTGTTACTTTTAATTTTAGGGCTTTCCAGGGGAATAAAAACTATCACGAATTATTAAATGCAACAAAATAAAGTTAGCAATAATGTTAAAGATATTGCATCACTGATTTTCAAACTGTTGCAAGTGCAATTTAGAGATATTTAGCCTAATGTTATGTGCTGCATTGCATTAGTAATAAAATACGCTTTCAAATGATGTGTTACACTTTATAATACGTAATAGTAGCTTTTTATCTCGCTAGAGGGCGCTAAAAATAAACGGAACACAATAAACAGTCATATTTTTGAATCCCCATAAAATTAATGATGTACCATACGTTGTACATTCCCTATTTAAAATTAAGGGGTTGGAGAAGTGGAAGGGAAGGGGTTGACACATGACAGATGTCTGTAGTTTAAAAATATGGTTAATTTGAAATAAAAATCTATAATTATTCAAGATAAATTTAAATATTTTAATAGTAAATAAATTGAAATTAAAAACAAATATGTATGACAAATACTAAATCTAATTTTTTACTATTAAAAATATAGAACCATTCATTTTACATTTTGTTTTTGAAAAACCTATTGTTAAGTAAAAAAGATAAAGATTTGTACATAATTACTAACGAACAGTATAATAAAATGTAATTTTTTGTGACGTAGCTTAAAAAACTTGTTTTTCTCAGTGTACCCAATAATTATTTTTTGTAAACGGTAGTCCAGATATTGATTGTATAAATATTATAAAAAAAGCATCAAAAGCATAAAGAAAGCTCATAATTTAGTGTCAAAGTCTTTTATATTTAAGTATACTAATGTTTTGTAATCTAAGGATAATAATACTTCTCTATTTACTTAAATCGTCTACATCAATTATTAACCAAAACATAAATAATAAAGACCAAAAATTGCCGTTTTGAGGGTGCCAAAGATACACCGGAGTTTCCTCTCTTAATCGCATTCGGAAGCAATGGTTCGGAAAATTCGTTTTCCGTTGACACGGAAATTTGCATAAATCGCTACTCTCGCGCGCCACCTCGTGTCACCCGTCACTAATTAAAAATGCATGGCGTCGCCTTTGCCTCACTCAATATTTCACAACGTCCAAATTTGGCCCCGGTTGAGGATGTCAAGAAGGCCCGATCGCTAAGTGACAGGAGGGTGGAAATATTTATAATGAAATTAAAAATGTGAAATTTCTAAAAAAAATCAGGTTTTGTTAGATGAGTTTTATGTAAAAGGCCACTTTTAACAATTGTCCCCAAATGTAAAAGACCATGCAGATGGAAGAAAAGGTTCACACTCTGTGTTATGTCACAATGAATGACAGTTATTATAGGTGTTTATCTTTAAAATATAGCATTAAATTATGCATAGTAATAAAAAATCTACTAGAAGTAGTTACTAAATGGTGTACTTTCAGAAATATTCAGTTCTTAGTCAGTATTTAGATTTTAACATAGTTGAGGATGTCAAGATTGCTAAGTGACTATAGGGTGAAAAAACAATTTTTACTTAGTCTTTTATTATTTGAATTTTATGTAAATAGTCACCTTTAATATATGTGTCTTCAAGTAAAAGGCCACTTCTAACAACTGTTCCCAAATGCAAAAGACCACGTAAATGGAAGAGAAAGTTAGGTTAGGTTATGTGAAAGGCGGGAATTTCTCCAAAAAAAAGTTTCTGTGTATTTTTTCTGACTATATATGTTTAAAAATCAAGTGCTTGCAAGAAACCTTTACTAATAATGTTCTATTTTTGTTACAGATGCCATGGGTAAGTGGTCAACCACAAGACATTCCCTGCAGATGTCACTGTACCATTACTAACCCATTTGGTCAGGTATGATCATATAAATACACAAAATTACTTATTTTAATACTATTAATTTTTTTTTTATCTAATAAGTTACTACCTATTATATTTTTTTAATGATTGTAATTTGTTTTGTTTGTATTTCTAAGGTTAATAAATTGTTATAAGATAAAAATCGTTATAATGATAGTTATTTATGCTATAATTGTTATTGGTATTATTAAAAAAACGTTTATAAGAACGTATTAAACCGCTTACACGGTTTCATAGTTATTAGCATGGAAATTAATTTAACAGAAGCGATTAACATAGCTTGAATAAAATTGGTTATTTGGATAAACAGTGATCTTGATTTTTCTGTAATAATTTCTAGGTTATAATTAGTAAATTTTCATAATTTAGGTAGGTTGACAGTGATTTTAAATTTGTTTAAATTACCAACAAAAAATAATGATAGAAATGGTTTATTTTATACACAGGGTGATCCTTAAGTAATTGTACATAGAAGTATGGTAGGATTCCTCACTTTAAAATATTACGATTTAAACCAACTTGCTTTAATAAAATGTTGCTAATAAGGAATATACAGGGTGTTAATGGTTAAATTTTAAGATTTCGCTTTTGCAATAACTTCAACGATTTTGGATATGTATACATAAAAATTTGGAAATCTGGTACCTAAATCTAAAATCTGGTACCTACTTTGATGTAATTTGTAGAGGGCGCTACATAGGCTACATTTGTGGCATAAATGTGCCCTAAAATTAGTAATATTTTAAAGTGAGGAATCTATCATACTTCTATGTACAATTACTTAAGGACCTCCCTGTAGAGTACTTGAAACTAAAAGTTGCTTATTTTAAGTTAAATTTGTCAATTTTGGTATATTATTTTATTATTAAATTCGTTATAAATTTAACTATTTATAGAAATAACTTATGCAATTAAATAGCGTGAAATTTTATAAATGTAGATGTTTGTAGGTCGAATATCCTAGAGGAATTGACCGATTTCAAAGCCCTCTCGACATTAGCGACCTGTAAAGTGCCGCTAAACCGATTCGAGGGCCATCATACAAATTAGATCTGTGCGCACACCGCCCCCAGATAAAACCGAAAGCCGCCAAAAACGTTTCCAGAAAACGCTACCCTTTCATTACGTGCCCTACGAAAGAGATAAAACCCTTGTTCAGATTGTCAAAATCGATACGGTGGACACTGCGAAGGAAGTGACTTGCGAATTCTGTGGCACCTGGACTCCCTTCTCGGCCCTCCTCCACTAATGGGCCCAGGGGCGTAGCATCGGAATCGACTAACAATAAAATTGTGTAGCAATATGTTCTGATAATTTAAAAGGATCTAACAAAATCATTGTTGTCCTATTATACAAAAAGACTCCAATAATTCCTATTTATCCCATTTAAATTACGTCAAGTTTTTCAAAAGTGTTTGAATAGGAATTTCTAGATTTTTAACAGAGGGTCAACATATGTTTCGACAGAATCATTTGACAAACCAGCAACAATTTCATGGACTGGAGAATGTTCTGCAAGGAGAGTTTCTGACTTTAGCAAGGCATTCGACTGTATAAACGTAATAATTACCTATTGCAAATATTATACAATTATTGAATTGGATTGGATTTCATCCCTTCATGCCGAACACAGCCAAAAATTAATTCTTGAACAGTTACCTACACTAATTCGAGGAGCAAAATTATTAACACAGCTGTACCACAAGGATCTGTGTTGGGCCCTCTTTGATTTATATTGTATTCCAACGAATTGGATACTTTATTAGCTGGTATACACGTGACTATGTATGTGGATAAGAGATAATCAATCTTTATAGTTTACAAGTGACTGGTGATGTAGTTTTAATTAATATTAAAATTTCATAATGAAAAACGAAATGTGTTAACATTTATATGAAAATATCAGCGTGTATAGAATTGATTAAAATACTGTTAGCCCTTGTGTGCAAGTATTAGAAGAGGCACAAGACCTTTTTTTAGTGTCCAAAGAGTAGATATTATCAGGATAATAATAGTAGGTATTCCTGGTATTTATGTACTCTTGTATTTACCCTTTTTATAAATTTTAATATTTTAACACTTTTTTCTTTGTATATATTTAAATTATGTACCTATATTTTTAATAATAAAAGCAAGCTATCTAAATCATAAAGATTTCTTAAACCATACACAGGCTATTTTTTAAATGAAAACATCCATAAATAATCATGCAGTCAAGGGTTAAATATTTTATTACATAAACAAAATTCTTCTTAACTTGATTACAAGTAATTCAATTTTTTTCAAGATCGGAGGTTAAGAATAAAAATAACACCTTTAAAATGATGTGTCATTCGATCCACTTCGACCCTTGGTTGCACTTTTCTTTCTAGTTTATATAATTTCATAAAACTTATTACCCGTGGCTTTCTGGTGTCGCTGATTACGAATCCGATATCAAAAATACAAGATTCAAAATGGCGGATCCAATATGGCGGACTGTGAATGGAAACTTCTCAATTTCCATAAAATTTGGTATTTAGGGGTTTACTGAGTCACCGATTATGATTCTGCTATCAGATTTTTCAAAGTTCAAAATGGCAGATCTAATATGGAATCCAAAAATAGGTAAAACTGGTTTTTTGATTAAAAATGAAATGTAAGCGGTTTTCAAGGGGTTTTTAGATAATATATAGATGAAATGTAATGTATATAGAATAAATGGAAAGCATATAGCAGAAATGCAATACATATAGAAGAAATGCAAAGTATATAGAAGAAATGCAAAGTATATAGAAGAAATGCAAAGTATATAGAAGAAATGCAAAGTACATAGAAGAAATTCAAAAAGTATACAGAAGAAATGCAAAGTCTATAGAAGGCATGCAAAGTATATAGAAGAAATGCAAAGTATGTAGAAAAAATGCATAGTATAAAGAAGACATGCAAAGTATATAAAAGAAATGCAAAGTATATAGAAGGAATGCAAAGTATATAGAAGAAATGCAAAGTATATTGAAGAAATACAAAGTATATTGAAGAAATGCAATCGTTATGATGTAAATATATGTATTTAGTGCCATGTGTGTAACCTTCAACATATTTTATTTTTAACCTCTAATATGGAGTCCAAAAATATGAAAAAGTGATTTTTTGCATAAAAATGAAACGAAAGCGGTTCCCAAGGGGTTTTCAAATTAAAATAAATAAATAAAAAACATATAGAAGACATGCAAAGTATATAGAAAAAATACAAGGTATATAGAAGAAAATAAAAGTATATGAAAAAATGCAAAGTATATAGAAGAAATGTAAAGTATATGGAAGAAATGCAAAATATAGAAGAAATGCAATCGTTATGATGTAAATATGTGTATTTCGTGCCAAGTGGGTATATCATCCCTTCCTAACCTTTAAAATCTCCGGTAAAAGGCTTTACAGCCTACTCGTGATAATTCCTAAATAGAAGATAAGGAACTTTTTCCACTAGAAATTATATAGACTTATTAGTTATTAATGATACAGACTTTGACATTAATTAAAAAGATAAGGATATTTTAAATGTAACTATTTAAACTGAATTTCGAGCTAGAAAATATATTTTATTTAGAGTTAAGACGATCTTTTCAATTTCAAGTGTTAATCGACAATTTTTTAACCTTTTCGGCCGCCATATTGGATCCGTCATTTTGTGTTTCTAATTTTTAAAGTTCTATTCAAAATCAGCAACCTAAACAATCTCTTGGAAACCTTCCAGGTTGAATTTCTATGCAAAATAAACAATTTTTAATATTTTCAGGCACCATATAGGACCGCCATTTTATATTTCCAATTTATAATGTCACATTCAAAATCAGCGACCCCAAAACCAATTATAAACCTTCTAGGTTTAATTTTTATCCAAAATAAGCAATTTTTAATATTTTCGGACACCATATTGGACCACCATTTTGTATTTCTATTTTTTAATGTCATATTCAAAATCAGCAACCTAAACAATCTCTTAGAAACCTTCCAGGTTGAATTTCGATGCAAAATAAACAATTTTTAATATTTCCAGGCACCATATTGGACCACCATTTTGTATTTCCAATTTCTAATGTCATATTCAAATTTAGCGTCCCCGAAACCACTTGGAAACCTTCTAGGTTTAATTTTTATGCAAAATAAGCAATTTTTAATATTTTCTGACACCATATTGGACTGCCATTTTGTATGTCATATTCAAAATCAACGACCCCAAAAATCCCAACATACTGATGTTGATATCATCGAAAAAATATATGAAACGTCCCCCTGTGCTTATGAGCGTTCAACTATTACATAATTAAACTTTTATTGAGCTATATGAACAAAAACAAAGACATCATGAACCCCCACACCTTAAATGTTACTTTTATTAAGTATCAAAATTAAAATAAATAAATTCCTATAAGGGTCGTTTTTCTACCTTTTGTTATTTTCTCTTAGAGAAGAAAATTCCTTAATTAAAAGTTGCTTTTTATGTCATTCTCTATCATTTTTGTTCTACACATGATTTCTCTAAAATGGAACAAAATGGAAAAATTTTGAGGAAAAAAGTAAAAAAGATTTCAGTGTTTTCATTTGCAATGAAATATTTCAAGAAAGATGTGTGTGTGAAAAATTAAAGTATTTAGTTCATCCTCTAAATATTTGCAAGGTTGATATAATAGTTTATACAGCATAACCGAAAAAAGCATATAATAAATTTAGATAAGACAGGAAAGTCATTTGTTAGACACATCAGATTTTTCCTACGTCTAACGTAAAGATGCGTGTTTATTAAATCTCTGAAGTATTTCTAATTTTCACAAAACAAATTTGAGACATATTGGAATCATTTATTTCATTCAAGTAAAAAAAAAGACATTGAAGAGGTCTAGGTATTGAAGGCAAGCCTATTTATGTTCTTTTTATAAAAAAC